GAGAACACTGGTACCTTAAATTAACCCTGCACTCAAGTCAGCGCACGTTCCTATGGGGCAAAGAAATCTGTCTGCTTCTATGAGGCACATCACAAAGCTCATCTTTTGTAGAACAGCTGTAAGAAAATCACCATACATGGAAATATATATGAAAATATGCCAGGAGCCCTCAGTGGAAATGCCAAGGGCTAGTCCGAAGCTTACCGGTCCAGACGGGAAAACGGGCTGCTTGCGACAATGTTCTATTCCCCTGAGGGTTTCTGTCAGTGAGCGTGTGATATGACTGCACGACCAATCTCTGCTTGGTTATACTTTGTGCACTTAGCCTTCCACAGAAGCTAAGAGGCTCTTCCTGCAGAAGCCACCACCTTAAAAATAGAGGCACCACCATAAACAACATCAACACGAGAGTTTAAAGGAGTAACGAGTCCTTTAGTTGGGTCTGTGTGCTGGTTTCTTACACGAAGTTGGCACTGCTGTCCAACTGTGGAGCGGGCCAGAGACCACACCGACAACATGAAGGGTATTTCTAGAAAGACAGGCCAAGTACAACTGTGTGCAGGACAAACAGGATAATTTTATTCTTATGTTTCCTTAAAATAAAAATACAGAACTTTTACAATTCACTATGATTAGACATGATTTATAATTTTAACATTTTTTTTTTTAACAAATGACAACGGAAAGAAAGAACTAGTACAAATTATAAACCTACTGGAGCAAAGAGAAACTATCTTTCTGATCAAAACATGTGCCACAGCCAAACCTCCTCAGAAAACTTTCTAAGATTTCTTAGCTAAACTTTCTCAGAGGGTTTGTGGGAAGCCTTTAATCTCAAATATTTAAACTATTTTTGTGACCACTAAATGCCTTCACCAACTTGTTAATCAAACGCTTCCTACATTTAGGAAGCAATGACCAAGTGGTCTGAAACACGTTAAGTCTTGATCCTATTTTTCCAGCTATAAATTATTAATATTTCAAGAAAACAAAGTATTTTCTAAGCACAGAAGCTTTCTAAAAAACTTCAATTACCATTTCTGGCTCAGTACCTGACTGAAATGTTCAAATGTTTATATTGCACACAAAAAAATCTGAGCAGCATACTGTGTGTGTGTGAGAAGCTGATGAAAAAGAAGACTGGGGAAAAAACCCTAAATTGTGTCCCATTTACATGATTTAAATATATAGTTTCTATATCTTTAATTAATAGAAGTAAAAAGGTAAACTTTAGAACAGCACAGAAATACAAATCATTAGAGTTTTACAAAATATACTCAACCCCTATACGTGCACAATCTTTTTAATTCTGGAGTTACCATACAAGGGAGGAGCTAATTTCTTCCCCTTCATACGAAAGCAGGAAGTCACACGTACAAAGTTATTTATATGAAAACAATAAAGATCCACATTCCTCTTCTTTGTCCTTGACAAATATTTATGGAATGTTGGAAATTATGAAAAAACAATTCCAATGTCACAAAGTCCAAAGACCTGGAATGAAATACTCCCAGTGGCACACTGCGTTGCACAGAATGACAATCCTCTTCTAGAAACCAGGGCTGCACTCCCTGTCAGCTTTAATGGCTGCCCACCGACCTGGGTGGAAAGGCCACAAATGCTGGGCCACCTCTGGTGGCATGCAAATGTTGATGCCATCTCGAGTCCCAACCAGCTCCCTGATAAAATAATGGACAATATGTAGCAGCTACCGTCCCAACAGGCTACTCGCCCCAACCGCTGACAAGGATAAAAGTTCATGCGGTTCAAGATCAGTCCACTGCCCCTCCCAGAGCTGAACACTCCCCAACTCGTCACCAGGCCCAGAGGGAAACACGGGCTGTAACTTCCACAAAACAAAGTAAGAACAAAACCTGCCTGCCGGGGAGATAAGATTATAGCTTCATTTTCAAACTTGTAACCAGATTAAAATCCTAACTTCTCTGTAAAAGAATTCTTATAACTTTCAGCACATTAAATACTGTGTCCTCAGAATACCTTCATTCAGATTGTAAGTACCTTGTTCCTCAATTTTGTGACTTCTAACTTCTCTCCCTTCCAAATTTGCTTTCTTCTTACGTTTCTAAAGTAAATTATCATAAAAAAAAAATCCAATGCTTAATATAGAACTGAGAAAGCAAGATAAGATTGAGGAAATCACGTCATATGCTCTGGTTTGCTGCCTGAGGATATTTCTGCTGTTTCTTAAAGCAAAAAGTAGATAAGGATTGTTTTAGACCTTGGGCACTGACTAGTAAATCACTAGGGGAGCTGGAGATAGACTATTCATCCTGGTTATGTGAGTCAAATGCATACGCGAGAGAACTCTGAGCCTCACTCTTGACATGCAACTTTTTCTCTTAACACAGGTTGGGTGGTTGGTAGCCTTAACTCTTTTCCTTCCCTATGTCAATTGTCATTACAATGCCTTAGTAGGAACTAAATGCCAGGGACTTTTCCCCAGCACTACTTTTAAGTTACCTAGATAGCAGTGAGGCCACCGCCAAGCTATAGATGCAGTCTGTGTGGCTGGCACACCCTGGAAAGGCCTGGCTGACCCTAGCTCCCTCAGGCCTACTTACCAATACTCAGTTCTTAGACACAAAGGGACTGGAGCAAGTGTGGCCAAAGCAGAACATCCACCTTTACCGGTGCTATGTCTAAAGATGGCCCCATGTTGGCTCCCGTGGCTCACAGAACCAGGAAGGCTACAGCTTCTGGGGCTGGCCACTCAGCTGAAGCCTGGAATCCAAGTCACAAGCACGCGGGCTCCCAGGACAAGGGGCCAAGCTTCCTGCCTTCGACTGTGCTGGCCGCCCTGGGGCCCCTGCCAACAACATATTAGCTTACGCTCCCTGAAAACTCCAATGCCTCCCAGAACCTGAAGGAAATATAGTTAGTCTTTTGACTACTTCTCTGACAAAAGTTCTATCTTTTGAGATACTCACTTTATGCTGAAAGTCAGTTAAATGACCAGCTTAAGAGCTGAACTCTGAACTAGAAAAATTAATAGCAAGTTCATGTAAAGGTATAGGTTAAAATGGGGAAAAAGTGATCTTAAAGCAAAGTTAAATTTCACGTAACCATTTTTATTTCAGTGGGATAGCAACGTGTACATTGGCCTGCTTCTGAACAGTGAGAGATGAGAGTTTACCCCAAGCCCGCAACCCAAACAAACTGGAGGATGGACCAGCGGTGTGCTGGCCGGCCTCGCAGCTGCTCTTGGCGCTGTGAAGCTTGGGCAGCAGAGAGCTAACAACTGCACACTAACACTAGACACCCCGACTAATGATGCGGCCTCATGAAACAGGATGTTAGAATGAATTCTTTACAATCTCAGTGCAACACTAATTAAAGTTACCTTTTAAGGTGTTGTTTGGTTATTACTTTCTTCTCTTCAAATAGTATTTCCTGAGAAGGCTAACTTCCCCAGCAGAAGTGGAGTTAATAGAGTTCTCACAATAAGCCCTTTCATTGATCATCACTGAATTCTTGAGTTATTGTGCTCAAAAGGAAGTACGCTTTTACGTTTGTCAGACTTGTGTTAAAACACAAATAGGAGATTTTAGAGACATTTAGATTATATCCCTATGTCCATTTCACATGCCCTAGAAGAATTTACTTCTTACATCAACATTTTGTAAGGGATAAATCAAATATAATCACGTGTTCTCCTTAATTAGATCCCTTATTTTCCCAACACCCTATCATATGTAGATCATACTCACAACATATTTGTCAAGTGTCCTTTGTTACTGAAAAAAGTCTGTCCCCTGTAAGTACTCCCTGAGAACACCCATCCAGAGTCCCCTTGAAAAGCAAATGAGAGCTGTGCATGGCAGATACGTGAGGTCCAGTTGTATAAAAATCTTCAGTACGTAGCACACATGTGCATGCGTCTAAGGTGAAACCAGAGGTCCTTTGTGAAACAAGACTGATGTCACAGCTGTAGTTTTCTCCTCTTGCCTCTTGCTTTTCTAAACGTGAGTGAAGATGAGATTTCTATTTAATATTTATGGATCATCTCGTTTTTCTTTTATAAATACTTTTATAATGGGGTAGGGATTGATTACCGAAGGATTTTCCATCAGGGAAGTAGAAAGGCCAAGTGCCTTGAAAAGCTGTATGAAGAATAAGACTAAGAAAAAACCTGTTATGTCTGTAAACAGCCAATGGGAAACGGTTTAAAAGAAGAAATAGAAGGCACAAACTGCGGGTTAAAAAATGCTTGTAGAAGACTGCAAGATAACTAGAGTTGACAGAACTCACACCTAGGGCTTCTAAAGCCTTGCCCTAAATACACATTCTGGTTATACCACTCCAACACCACTGTGACATTCTCGATGCCTCAGAGCAAGTGCTTAGGACTGGGAAAGAATAAACTATAAACATAAAACACTTCATCCTCAGAACTACTGCCTCTGGCTTTCACGTTTCTGGGAGTCAGTGAATTGATAAGTGTGTTTTGTGGGTAGAGAACCAACAAACAAAAAACCATCACATAATCAGCAAAATAACAACAAAGGGCTGGACTGTATGGCCCCTTAACTTTATAAGCACATTTTAGGGCCAACTTGAAATTAAAATAGTAAGATAACTTAATTTTACCACATATAAATTACAATGGCCACCTGGATATTCAAACAGCAAAAGAGAACAGAATTTACATAAGTAAAAACTTTTCTAAAGTAAACAAATGTAGAATATCAGGACTGAAAATTCATTAGAAGGTTCACTGTCTGTTTTAATCAGGCTCAGACTGAAATAAAAGTAGTCAATTTAAACCCCAACCTGGAAAGCCATCCCCTCTATGGCTGCGATTTCATCTCTCCAGCATCCTGTGAATTCATTTAGACAGAGGGCAACCATCCATGTAAACAGTTCGACGTACTGGTCCCCTGCCGTGGACCTGTGGCCGATGAAGAGGAACAGTCTGGGAGCAGCAGACAGACAGGGAACACTTAAACTTAAGGAAGCGACCACGGCCTCTGGACACCTTGTCAGGGCTTCCCGTCGGGCGGCTCAGTGAGACTCTGGGGGGCGGGACTGGCGAAAGTGGAAAGCCAGGAAGACATAGCTGTCTTTGCACTGGAAAAAGCTCCTCCAACTGATTGGCCTGGAGGGAGAGGAGAGGAAAAACAAAAGGAAACATGTCTTCACTTTTGTTAGGAGATACCGAAAGACCAATGCTAATAAATGTTTATTTACTGTTACACATCAGTATGTTAATAGTTACTAAAACAGCATTAAAAAAATTTTTTTAACGCTTATTTTTGAAAGAGACAGAGAGAGACACAGAGTGTGAGCAGGGGAGGGGCAGAGAGAGGGAGACACAGAATCCAAAGTAGGGTCCAGGCTCTGAATGGTCAGCAAAGAGCCTGATGCAGGGCTCTAACTCACGAACTGCGAGACCATGACCTGAGCTGAAGTCGGACGCTTAACTGACTGAGCCACCCAGGCGCCCCGCTAAAATACCGTTTAAGTTTCTAGGTTCAAAACAATCCCTTTCCATGGGCATATTTAGTAGGAAACTGGGTAACTTCTGGGTTAAGAGCCTACTCTCCTAAGCGTTCGTTCTGAAGGTGGTCAGCCAGTTCTTTCCTTTATACCCAGCATGCTAGGCCAGCGGTTCTCAGCAATGGCTGTGCATCAGAATCACCTGGGAAAGCTGAAAAAAAACCAAAACAAAAAACAAACTATGTGCTCTCTCGGTGGCTCACATCCAAGTTGATAACTGATAACCACCTCCCCAGGCAAGAGTGGTTAGGCTGCTCTCAGGAAATGTGCTTTTGTCATCTGAGACACTGCTGCCAGGGGCGCCTGGGTGGCTCAGTTGGTTGGGTGTCCGACTTCGGCTCAGGTCATGATCTCACAGTTTGTGAGTTTGAGCCCTGTGTCGGGCTCTGTGCTGACAGCTCAGAGCCTGGAGCCTGCTTCGGATTCTGTGTCTCCATCTCTCTCTGTCCCTAACCCACTCACATTCTGTCTCTGTCTCTCTCAAAAATAAACAAACACTTAAAAAAAAAAAAAATTGAAACGCTGCGCCATAAATGAAGATGCCGACTGCTCCATCTGCCTCAGGTCTGTCTGTTTTGTTTTAAAGAAACTTATCTCCAAAGCTGATGTACAAGTGAAATTACTGCAGTTAAATCATATACTCCCACTATTCTTAGGGGAGTGGGGAAGAGAGCTGGCCTTAGCAGCAGCATCACTAATAATGAAGTAACAATCGACATCATATACCTATATGAAGTAGAATTTTTCTGTTAAAAAGAATTCAAAGTAAGTTAAACGCGTAATATTGTATGGAAATAAATGCTCACATCTTAAATTCCATTCCCTGCCATGAGACAAACCCACTTATGGGCTTTGTGCTCTATGTCTGTCTTTTAAAGGGTCCACACAGTACGTATGTAGCTCACTCACCCTGACTCTAGGTACACAGAATGTTAGAGCTCAGGCCTGCACAGAAATCACCTAATTCCAAGGCTTCTGAACTGTGTACAGGAAGGGTTAGTCAACCTCTCAAGGAAGCTAAGGAAGGAGATGGCACCTATTTTTACATATTGATGTGACAAAGCAAATATGGCAAAATGTAAATAACTGGTGAACCTGAGATAATTGGGAGCATGTACACTGTTGCACCATTCAAGTCTGAAATTATATAAAAAAAGGTTAAAAATACAAAAAAGGAACGAGACTTTTTTTTTAGAATGGATATGGAACAAACTGCAAAGTATTTTAAGTGAAGAACACTCTGCACAAGAATGTAAACGACACCATGCTACCATTTGACAGGCTTCAGTTCTCAGGGTAACACTGGCGTCATTAGATGAACTGGGGAGGATCATATCCCATCCACTACATTCTGAAAGAGTTTGTATAAAATTAGTATTATTCCTGGGGTGTCTGGCTGGCTCAGTCAGTAGAGCGTCCAACTCTTGGTTTTGAGTCAGGTCATGATCTCATGGTTTCATGAGTTTGAGTCCCGCATAGGGCTCTGTGCTTGGAATTCTCTCACTCAAGCTCTCTCTCTCTGCCTCCCCTACTCACGCTGTCTGTCAAAAATAGATAAAACTTAAAAAAAAAATTCAGTATTATTTCTTAAACATTTGATAAAATTCATAAGTGAAGCCATCTTTACCTGGATTAAATAAAAAACCTTATGGCATGGTTTTTATTTTTAATTCAATTTATTTACTAGATACAGGGCTATTCAAATTCCCGACTACTTACTGCATCAATTTTGGCAATTTGAGGGTTTTTTTTTTACTGTTTATTTTTGAGGTGGAGGGGCAGAGAGAGGGGAATAGAAGATCTGAAGCAGGCTCTGAGCTGACAGCAGAGAGCCTGATGCGGGGCCTGAACTCATGAACCATGAGATCATGACCTGAGCTGAAGTCAGACATTTAAGTGACTGAGCCACCCAGGCACCGTGGCAATTTGAGTCTTTCAAATAATCTGCATATTTCATCTAAATTGTCAAAAAACTGGCATAAACTTATTCACAATATTCCCTTATACTTTTTCATTTCTGTAAGATCTATAGTGATGTCCCCTCTTTCATTCCCAATACTGGTAACTTGTATTTTTTCTCTTATTAGCCTATGAAGGTTTTATTGATATTGTTTTAAAAATCGCCTGTTCATTTCAGTGATTTTTTTTACTGTATGTTAATACCTTAGAAGACAGCACTCTTAATGTCTGCTTTATTATGGTGTTCTACTACTTATACAAAAATGCAGGCAGCACAGGAAATGGGGACAAAACTCCAGTGAAATTTGAATCCTTGTAAGAGAACAGTGAATTCATCAGAAAATTGGTTTCTTTCCATCAGGTGTGGCAAAATTTGCTGAACTTTGACATTACCTGATGTCACAAGAATTTTAACATTTTGTGAATATTTTCACAAAAACAACTTTTGTATTCAACAATCTTGTATTATAGTATACACAGATTTCTACAACTTTATGATTTTATCAATGACACACTGAGTACAGAGAAGAGATGTGTTATGATTCTAATCTGTTTCTGGCTAAGGGCATGTCTTACCAACAGCTTTTCCTGTTTGTACAACATTTCGGCTGGTTGTGACCATGACGTTTCCAATTTTTTTGCCACGTTCACTGTTTTGAACAGAACTGAGTAAAGCAAAGAAGTTTTAAGTACATTACAAAAATTCACACACAGCACCTTCTATAACCATCCCCCAAATTAGAATTGAGAAAAGAAGTTAAATTATTTGTTGTGCATCAATTAATTTAGTAAACTTTTAAGCATGTACATTTTCAGAAAATACTAAAATAACATGCAGATGAACCAAAAAAAAAGGACATAAGGATGCATGGTTAATTCTCCCTACAGTTATGATTGGCTAAAGTTACTCCACCAGAATAAAAATGGCAACTCTGTTATTAGTTCACACCATTCTCTATGAGACAGCAGTGTTTTCACTCTGAAACATACACACTGCTGAGCTGAAGAATGTTATGCACATATTTGGTTACTATTTGAAGCACAAGTCTATCAAGTGGAGAAAAACAATTCCTAATTAGCAATGAAACACATGGCATAAACTCAGACATAAAAATTTTCCTAGTTTTTTTCTCTAAATACTCACTGTGAGAATCTTAACTTCATGTCTGACACTGAGTACTGGCCTTGAAAAGGATGACTGTAAAACAAAGTTTGAGTCTATGAGATTCTAAGTATTTGACCAATAAAGCTGCAAAACAAAGCTGTCATAAGAAAGTATCAGTAAACCTTGCAGGGATGACTCAGCTGGGTGGTGGTGCTCTGCATGTGACAACAGGTCTTTGATCACAGCTCTCTACTTACAGTCTCGGGAGCCTCTCTGAGCTTAATTCGTCACTTGTAAAAAGGTGTTTTGTTTTGTTTTTTCCTTGGAGTGCGGTGGGTGGTTTGTGTTAATGTTACACTAATGTTCTGATTTATTTGGTCTGGGGTTGGGCTAAGCATCAATGTTTATTTTATTAAGTTTAGTTTTGAGAGAGACAGAGACAGCATGATTGGGGGAGAGGCAGAGAGAGGGAAAGACAATCCCAAGCAGGCTCCACGCAGTCAGCGCAGAGCGTGATGTGGGACTCGAACTCACAAACTGTGAGATCACGCCCTGAGCTGAAACCAAGAGTCAGACACTTAACCAACTGAGCCACCCAGGCGCCAGCCCCTATTTGCACATTTTTAAAACCACTGTCTTAGAATCTTTTAAAGCCCATTCCAGCTAAGACTCTTATGAACCTACATTAAAATCTGTAGAGTTGGTTCAGGGCACCTGGGTGGCTCAGTGGTTAAGCATCTGACTTCAGCTCAGGTCATGATCTCACAGTATGTGAGTTCGAGCCCCATGTGGGGCTCTGTGCTGACAGCTCGGAGCCTGGAGCCTGCTTCAGAATCTGTGTCTCCTTCTCTCTTTGCCCCTCCCCAACTTGTGCCCTGTCTCTCTATGTCTCTGAAAAAATAAATAAACGTTAAAAAAAAAAATCTGTAGAGTTGGTTCAAATTTGAGGCACCACAGCAAATGCAGAGACTGGATAGAGATCTGACCAGCAGGGGAGACCAGATGGCCCTGCATGACACACTGCGGATGGTCGCAGTGGACCCCCCAAACCCCCCACCCCAGCACCACCACAGTGAGGGCCACCAGGCAAACAAACTCACATCTGTTTCCCTTCATCACTCTTTAAAATACAGGCCTTGTGGTTAGTAAGGGAGAATACTTTGAACTCTCAGCTCTTTCATTTAATACTATTAAGCTGTTTTTGCCTTTTAATTCTGTTTTTACCACATTCAAATGGCAACACAGGTTTCTGCTACAGCCCAGCGTGATGATTAAATCCACCAAAATCGTTGCTGAACCTAGTCATTTTTCTTGATAGATGATATAAAGGCTAACAGACATGTTCTTTACAACCCTGCTATACTTCATCCTTGCAGATGCTTCCCCAAGTTACTACGACATAAATATCTGGATTTTGGGGGGAGGGAGAGGGAATATTCTTCATAGCACCACTTATATCACATTCCCAGTCTAGTTAACTCTGGCTCCCAAATAATACAGTAGTCAGTACAAAGCTGATTTTTGTCTGACTCTTACTGAGAAGTTTAAAATACAAATAAAAACAAATGTTCAGTGTACACCTGATAAACATTCTGTTCATCATTACAAAAACATTTTAGTAGTTTAATTTAGAAAAGAAGTTCTCAGGATGTACAGTAGTTCCCCCTTATCTGCGGAGGATACACTCCGAGATCCCCAGTGGATGCCTGAAACCACAGACAGTACTGAATCCTATTTACATTATGTTTTTTCCTGTACATACATACCTGCGATAAAGTTTAATTTATAAATTAGGCACAGCGAGATTAACAAAAATTAATGATAAAACAATTATAACACTACATTGCAATCAAAGTTATGTGAATGTGGTCTTTCTCTTTTCCTCTGAAAATCTCTTCTGGCACTACACTCACCCTTCCTCCTCTGGTGATGGGAGAGGATAAAATGCCTACGCGATGAGAAGAAGGGAGGTGAAGGATGTTAAGTACTGTGATGTAGCGTTAGACTGCTACTGACCTGACGATACATCACAAAAAAGATCATTTGCTTCCAGACTGCGGGTGACCTGGAGTAACTGAAACTGGAAAGTGAAGCCACGGATAAGGGGGTACTACCGCACATGTTCCATCAATGGGTCTCCTCACACTCCTCTGTTCCATTCAAAGATAACCTCATGTCATAATGGCCCCACGCCACAGCATATTTAAATGTCTTCTATGCCTACGTGGATAAAGTCTGTCAACATTCAATACTGCGACAGGTATTAAATTTTGTAGGATTTTAGAACCTGCGGTGGAAGCCAGGCTTGACCACACACCTAGGAGTTCAAATATCAACTTTAGCTTTTTCACACTTCATGTTTTAAAATAGCCTCTCAGTGGTATTTCCTTCGAGGTTTCTACCTGGTTGACCATTCAGCTAAAGTACAGATCCAGGGAAAGGGAGAGAAGAACTATCATGTATCGAGTATCACCATGTGCCAAGATTTCCTCTTCTGAATTATGCCAAGATCTGGGAGAAATGCAAATCCTTCCAAAAATGTCTGGAGCATTTTGTGTAAGAAGAATAGGGAAGCAGTTTTCAGCTGCTTCTCTGTATCTGGGATTTTATAATTTACTTCAGGAGATTTTTGGAGATATTCACAATGTCATCAAAGTTAAAATACAATCCTTCTTTACATTAGGGCATACTTAGTAAATCCACCATGTTACATACTATCAACCTTCAGAGGACGTGCTTACTTTGGATTTATTTCTGCAAGTGCCGGATGCTTGTTGCTGTTCCACACCCTGTAGTTGTGAGTATTCTTCCATGCTGTAACAAAGGTTGTCCCATAGTCCGATAGTATCTTTTCATTATCTGTCAAGCAAATATTTGAAAGTTGAGCTGGACTGTAGCCAGTCAGGGATGTGAAAATTAACAACCAAAAAGGGTGAAGGAATGGCTTTGTCCCCTCCACCCCCCTGCTTTATAGGGGAGATAGCCTACCAGATATCAGGAAACTTGGGTCTAGTTCCAGAAATCCTGTTAAGAAGCTATGTGGCCTTTGGCAAGTCACTTAATCACTCAGAACTTCATTCTCCTAACCGGAAAATAAGAGGGTTGAGCCAGATATATTCTAAGGTTCCTTATAATTCCAAAATATTTCCACGTTCTCCTTACCAAGGTTAGGAGGCATAGTATTATTTAACAAAAACTGTAGGCTGGACAGTAACTGTATTGATGTATACATATGGACTAGGCAATCAGAGCATCTTTCTGTCTTTTCAAATTGTTATTTTTCTATTAAAAAATTAGAATGAATACATGAATTGGTTTTTTAGTCACTTTTTTCTTCTTTGGACTTTATCACACTATTTGGTGAAACTCATTCCTTAATTTCCAAACATTTCACTGTTATTTTACTTAAAATAACAAAGGAATTTTCATATTTAATGTTGAAAACTTTTCAGTTCAAAAAAAATTTTTTTAATGTTTATTTTTGAGAGAGAGAGAGAGAGAGAGAGAGACAGACAGACAGACCCCGACCCAGAATCTGAAGCAGGCTCCAGGCTCTGAACTGTCAGCACAGAGCCCAACGCGGGGCTCGAACTCAGTCTGCGAAACCATGACCTGAACCAAAGTTGGACACTTAATCTTAACTGATGGAGCCACCCCAGGAGCCCCACGGCTTTTTCATTATCATGAGGAAGCTTTAAGAGAGCATTTGTTCTGCTTGGAAGAACAGAAAACGTTTGGAGAATGGATTCGAATGGCTTTTTCTTCACATACTAATTATAAGTTGCTTGCTTTGAAGGTGAAACATGACTTTTGTGGCTGGGAAAAAGGAAGAGGATACACATGGCTCTAAATGCAAAATATACGGGACTTTTTTTAAGAATGTATTCCTCAAACAGTTCACTAGGCTGAATCTCCTTTAACAGCAGCATGGGCCTGAGTCAGATTATTTGAGTTTAAATCACAGCTCAGTCTCTACCAGATGGATGAGCAACCTATTTAACCTTTCTGTGTCTCACTGCCTCCCTGTAAAAAGATGACAGGGTATGTACCTCCAGGACTGTTGTGAGGTTGAAATTAGTTAGTAGACACAAGGTGCTCAAAATAAAACAGGTCCCTGCACATATGAAATGTTCCAAAAGAAAAAGAAAAAGAAAAAAAAAGGCCAGTTACTACTATTATTCAGCACTTACAGCTATCGGGGCAAATATGTTTAAAAAGTAAATTACTCATGAAGCTAACATGACTGGTGAAGACTGGGGTTTTCTTACTAGATTATTGAATGATTCTGAACTTGAGCATTTAGTCTTGGGTGTCTCAGCCGCTAAATCTGTAGAAGAGGCAGATATCTAAAAATATCTCAAATAAGGACAGAGTGTTCCTTTATAAATGAAGCACACACCTGGAGCCTGGGTTCCAAATGTCACACACACTTCATGAACACCTAACCTGAGAGGTGACAGTGGTGGGTTGATTATAACATCTACTGACAGGACAATGTGAATGTACTTAATGTTACCATGGAACTACGTACTTATACATGGCAAAGATGGTAAATTTTAGGTTATCTGTGTTGCACCACATTTTTAAAAACTTCCCCCAAACAGTGGTAGAGGTAATTGGAAAAAAAGGAAAAACAAAAGCTCAACACTCTTTTAACAACAACAAAAATCTACCAAATCTTTGCTACATATCCATGGTGGTAGGTGACCATGTTGCAAAAGCTCGTTGCTGAGCTTCATTTGCTTTTTATAGATTTTCTTCTCTATGGGGAATGAGATGGTTTTAACACAGGAGTGAGTCTTTTACCTGCTCCACCCTAACCATTTAGTAGGAATAGTTCTGAGAATGTGAAATTGGAAGGCTTAATCATTGGGAATGTGATTTCCAGTGATTTCTACCTTTTATATTTCTCTTTTCTTCCTTCACAGATCTTAAAAACATGTAAGCAGTATTTATAAATAGCCCCCAGATCCTGACATGTCCTTCCTTCCATATGGCAGAGCACAAAGCAGCCACGTAAAAGTGATGAAGACCTGGATTTACTGTCTTGGAAAGTTTTGTTTTTTTTTTAAATAAAGAAAAGCTAAGTTTCAAAAACTATTTGAAACATGATCCACTTTTGTAAAAGGATCACCACAAATACCACAAAGCTAAAACCCAAAACATATAAACAGAAAAAGGTCTGGGAGGATATAAAGTACTCAAAATGCTAAGAGAAGTTATCTCTGTATGAGGGAGTAACAGATAAGGTTTCAAAATGAAAATGTATTTCTTATGCAATTCAAAACCTCACAAAGATTACAAAAGGAAAAACTGGCTATGTGCTCCTTACCTAACTGCAGCGTGGCAGCCAGCAGCGCGTGGATGTAGACTGCAAACTGGGCTCGGATCCATTCATCACCTCCCTCCCAGCCTGTGCCATCCAGGAAGACGTCATCTCGGTTCTCCGTCACGTGCCTCACTAGGTAATCTGCGAACCTGAGGTCTGCGGTGGTTGGGTTAAGCAGCTTCCTGAGTTCCGGATCGTGGATCTGGATCAGAGCTTCTTCCACCTAGAGGGTACCCGGGTACAAGTCAGAGTCTGGCCATTCACACAGATATCCATGTAACACTTTAAAGAGTCACTACTGGGAAGCTGAAGCTGGAAATAAGAAAATACGAATAACAGCATTCTCAAAAAGTGAGGCTAAGAGGTTTTTACACTGAAGTTTTTTCTTTACTTCGAAAATCCTCATTTTATGGTTTTAGAAAACAGATACATTAATATTTGATTCTGAGTTACAAAAGTAACACATGTTGATTCTAAATATATTAGAAAATGGAAGTGTGTAGTAAAAATCACCTTTGTCACACAACCAGAAATAATTACAATTTGTAAGTACAGTTGCTAAAAATCCTTCGTTGAGTATACAGATACTTTGGAATATTCGTATAATGTAATATTTGAGATACAAAGAGATATATATAACTTACAGGCTAATTTTGAAATATAACAATAAATCACATAACTATGAACCCACCAACCAACTTCAGAACCAGAACGTAACCAGTAATATTGAAGCAACTCTGTCCTTCCATCTTTACCCTCTGCCTGGGGAGGTATGGACTTATTTTTTTTCCCCTCAAAACTGGGACCCCCAAATTTTCATTTATCATACTATAAACATTTTCCCATGAAGCACGTTTTGGTACTTTGTATTAGATATTATATGGGGAACCTGGGTGGCTCAGTCAGTTAAGTGTCTGACTTGATTTCAGCTCAAGTCATAATCTCAGAGTCGTGAGATCCAGCCCTGGGTCGGGCTCTGTACTGGGCATAAACCCTGCTCTTCCCACTCTCTGCCCCACCCCACTCCTACTTTCTCTCAGACACAAAATAAACAAATATTTTAAAAAAGTTTTTTATTTTTTTTTTTTAATTTTTTTTTTTCAACGTTTATTTATTTTTGGACAGGACAGAGCATGAAGCGAGGGGAGAGGAGCAGAGAGACACAGAGGAAAGGCTTCCAGGCTCCGTGAACCCATCAGCCCAGAGCCCGCTGGCTGAGACTTTGGCTCCTGGACCAGCTGAGATCGAGTGACCTGGTCGATGGGCGCTTCCACCATCAACGCAGGCGCCCAAAAAAGTTTATTTTTTAAAGGATGCCTTAGTGGCTCAAGTGGTTGAGCCTGCTTGGCCTGTCGCCATGATATAGCTGGTTCAAAGTCAGGACTACTATGTAGGGCTCTGTGCTGACAGCATGAGACCGAGACTCTGAGTCTGTGTTCCCTAAGCCATTATCTGTTCTCCCTCTCTCAAAAAAAAACATTAAAAAAATTTTTTTAAAGTTTTATTTTTAAAACAATTTTTAAAGATTTTATGTTTACTTTTGAGAGAGAGAAAGGGAGAGAGGGAGGATGGGGGAGGGGCAGAGGAAGAGAATCCCAAGCAGGCTCTGTACTGCCAGCATAGAGCCCAATGTGGGGAAGCGAAACTTCAATCGCAACTTCATGGAGATCACTATCCTGAGATGAGATCAGGAGATGGACATCCAACCAACTGAGTCACCCAGTGCTCCCCAAAAAAGTTTTATTAAAAAACAAAACAAAGTATAAAAATCCAGGCTGGGTGAAATTTTAAAAAATTACTTCAATTTAAAAAGTGAACACGTGATTTAAATTTCTCATATGTTGATGTCAAATATTTATCTGTAGCTACTTCCTCTTCATATCAGGAGCAAATGAAACAGGTTAGAAGTATTTAAATTATTTAAACAATAAACACATTTTAATTTTGATATTGTAGTGGGACCAGACTGCCTGGCTTGCAATCCTGGGTCACTCCCACTTACCAGCCATTTAATTTCCCTGCTCCTTATTTCCCAAATGTGTTAAGATCTGGACAGCATCTTATATATCTCACAGATTGTTACGAGACTTAGATCACTTGATACACCCTAAGGTGTGTAGAATGCACGGGACAGCAATTTTTATCTTTATTAGTGTTATTCCCATGCTGTTAGAATTCCAGTTAACAAAGAAACAGGACCAGCAGCGTCAGGGACATGTACTCATATGCAAACCCACCTCCACAATGGCATCACTGAGGTGCTTCTGTTGTCGGAAGAGGATGTTAGTAGCCCCGGCAACAAATCCGCGAACGGTGACGTCAGAGAGAAGGTGGTGCTGCTGCAATGCCATATATGGCAGACACAGATATCCCTACGAGTTACAAGAATAATAGACCACATCAGAAAATAATGGGGCAGCCACCTGTTTTCAAGCTGAGACAGCCAACAGCAGGAAAGGAAACTCCCAAACTTGTCCTACTGCCATACCATCCCTAGCACAGTTGATCTCCTACTCACTACAGTACTTATTCCAGGGAACCCTCGGGTCTTGACTGCACAGAGTCCAGTTAGTCACTAACCTCTTCCATGTGTGCTGGTCTAACATGAAAATTGTCTTACTCGATCACTCTGTTCTCGGTTCAACTTAAAAGATTTCACGGTAACTAACGAACTGGACTTTTTCAGTTAGGAAATGAAATATTAAACCCATTAAAAAAGTATGTTGTTTAGTAGAAAGCTGTTAGTTCTTCCAGGAAAATTTGAAAACACATAACCAGTGATATACTGTTATGAGAACAGCAAAGCACTGCATATGGCATTTGTTTACTTGCCCTATTGTTAAAAATCATGCAATAATATTTCAAGTATTTGCTACATGTTTAAAGCAAAGAAAAAAAAAGACACTCGCAGTAGTTATATATTTAACTTCTGTTTGAACTGGTATTTGAAAATGCTGCCCCGAAAATTACAGTCGAATTGCAAACCACAGCAGGCCGTTAAGTGTACAGAAGGCAGCATATTTCCTGAGAAATAAAGCTGTTAACACTGCAATGATGCAATGAAGGAGGATATGGCATTTCTGTTGGAAGACTATCAATCAAAATAGATATCCAACAAGTGGCACAATTTGTGTAATGAAGCCAGGAGGGCAGAATTGTTGAACCCCTGAACTTGTTTTGAATCTCAAGTCCTGTGACAGTTTTACTTTTTTTTTTTTTTTTTTTTTTTTTTTTACTTCTCATCACTTTTTTTTTTTTAAACAAACACGGAACTAGAGAGCATTCTCTGGATGATGTCTTATTTTTGAGGGCAGGAGACATCTCTTTTGCTACTTCATGTTCTTCACTGTGTCCTGCGATGTGCTTTGTCCCTAACAGGTTGTTGTTAAATATCTTAATGTGGGAGAGAACACTTCCAAAAGTTGGAATATAGGTCCAGTAACCTACTTTTATTCTTTTTCTTCACAGTATCTTCCTCCATTTAATAAAATGCTGACCAATAGAAACAGCAGAAATAACCCATTTATGCATTAGAGATACTCAGTACAGCACTTCTCAACCCATGCCCCTCTTGGGACTAAAGGCCGGAAAGACCCCTGTTCCTCATTCAGAATCACTCAGCTGGTAAGGCTCAGGGTTCATGCTTTACTTTGTGAGCTCTGTATTTAAAAACAGACTCCCCCTGATCCCAAGTACCTGTTTCTAAACATAAACATTACAATATTGAACGCTCCCTATGTATTACACCAGCATGAAAACAAAGAAGTAGGTTTTAAAAAATCAATAGTTCAGGGGCGCCTGGGTGGCTCAGTTGGTTGAGTATCCAACTTCGGCTCAGGTCACGATCTCACAGTTGACGAGTTTGAGCCCCGCATCGGGCTCTGTGCTGACAGCTCAGAGCCTGGAGCCTGCTTCGATCCTGTGTTTCCCTCTCTCTGCCCTCCCCCACTCATGCTGTGTCTCTGTCTCAAAAATAAAATAAACATTAAAAAAATATTTTTAAAAATCAAGAGTTCAAAGCTTTTAGAAATATTAAAAAATTACATTCCTTAAAAAACTACATGTATGCTTGACCAGCATTCTACTTCTTATATTATCCTACAGATACACCTGCTCATATGTGAGATTTGTGAAGAGTTATTTATTGCAGCCTTGTTTTTTATAGCAGCAAAAGATTCGAATCCTAACCATTCATGGGCAGGGAACTGAATAAACCATTTGTCTATACAATGGAACATCCTGCATTGATAAAGGATGCAAGTCACTTCCAAGGAATAGCTGGTGAAAAAATATAAAAATGGGGTATAGGGGCATGTGGGTGGCTCAGGTGGTTGAGCATCCGACTCAGGTAATGATCCCAGGGTTGTGAGATTAAGCCCTGTGTCAGGGCTCTGAGCTGAATGTGTGGCCTGAGATTCTCTCTCTCTAAAATTAAAAAAAAAAGGGGGGGTATTGTCTGGTACCATTTGTGTAAAAAAGGAGGGGAAAATATCTACACACTTATGTATATATAATATACCCCCAGAGAAAACAGAAGACTAATAATGCTGGTTACCACTGTAACCATGCTTTGGAATCTTCTGAATACTGAACCATGTGAAAGTATTACATATTTATAAAATTAATTAAAATAGTTCAAAATAGTCTTAAAATTGTGTCACAGTTACTTTTAATAAATGATCTATTTTTCCCTAAATCTTTTAGAGCTCCTTATTGTACGGTGATAACAAGAGCACAAAATCCTTTCACATAAAGCAGCCTCCATACCCAAGCCCCCTCCTGGCTTTTCACTTTTCTAGGGTACTTTAATTTCCGTATTTGGAGCTATAGAATAGTAAAAACAAAAATCCAGGGGCACCTGGGTGGCTCAGCCGGTTAAGCGCCAGACTTCAGCTCAGGTCATGATCCCAACAGCTCAGAGCCTGAAGGCTGCTTCAGATTCTGTCTCCCTCTCTCTCTGCCCCTCCCCCACTCACGCTCTCTCTCAAAAATAAACATTAAAAAAAAAAATTCAAACAGTATTTGCACACCCATGTTCATAGCAGCATTATTCACAATAGCCAAAGCATGGGAGCAACTCAAATGTCCATTGACAGATGAACAGATAAAGTATGATATATGCATACAATGGAGTATTATTCAGCCTGAAAGGACAGAAATTGTGACATATGTTACAGCATGGATGAACCTTGAGAATATTAAGTCAAACAGGCCAGTCACAAAAACATAAATAATGTATGATTCATTTAGAGTAGTTAAAATCAGGGGCGCCTGGGTGGTTCAGTCGGTTGAGCCGCCGACTTCAGCTCAGGTCATGATCTCGCAGTCCATGAGTTCGAGCCCCGCGTCGGGCTCTGTGCTGACGGCTCAGAGCCTGGAGCCTGTTTCAGATTCTGTGTCTCCCTCTCTCTGACCCTCCCCCGTTCATGCTCTGTCTCTCTCTGTCTCAAAAATAAATAAACGTTGGGGCGCCTGGGTGGCGCAGTCGGTTAAGCGTCCGACTTCAGCCAGGTCACGATCTTGCGGTCCGTGAGTTCGAGCCCCGCGTCGGGCTCTGGGCTGATGGCTCAGAGCCTGGAGCCTGTTTCTGATTCTGTGTCTCCCTCTCTCTCTGCCCCTCCCCCGTTCATGCTCTGTCTCTCTCTGTCCCAAAAAAATAAATAAACGTTAAAAAAAAAAAAAATTTAGAGTAGCTAAAATCATAGGAACAGAAAGGGTGGTTGCCCAGGGCCAGGGGTAGGGGTAGGGGTAATGGGAGGTTATGGTTTAATGGGTATAGAGTTTCAGTTCAAGATGAGAAAGTTCTGGAGATCAATAGCACAAGGATGTGAATGTAACTTAACATTACTAAATTGTATGCTTAAAAATGCTTAAAAAAACAGATAAATACATATACGTACATACATATACACACATATATATGTATATGTATATATTATATATTTTAACACAATTAAGAACCAGACAAAACCCCTACATCTCTGCTTGGTAAATCTAGCAGAACTGTCATGAGCTAATAATCCATGAGCTAATAATCTGAGCTGAAAAAGCAGTGTGTCTTCTCTCTTGTGACTTAGAAAGTGCTACAGTATGATCAAGACTGTATGCCATCTTCTCACCTCTCCTTTGGTCAGGGATGATAAACATGTTCATGAATTGGAAGCCTCCCTGGTATAGGGATGTCCATTCTCTCCACAACTTATCTAGAGTTTGAAGATAATCCTAAAATTAATGTGGAAATACAAAGGACTAAGAAACACTTGAAGAACAATAATAAGAGGGGGAGAGCCTTTTCTCTGCCTGATAGGATATACGTACAGTGTGGGACCACCCCGGGGATAAATATACCAATGGAAGAATAAGAGTCCAGAAAGACTCCTTCCTCAAACATACACAAACTAATTCCAGTTAATAATAACCAAATTGTGCAAGGCAACACTATACAGCCTAAAATTTTTTTTATTATGTTTATTTATTTTGAGAGAGAGAGCGAGCGAGCGAGTGCGAGTTGGGGAGGGACAGAGAGAGAGAGAGGGAGACACAGAATCTGAAGTAGGCTCCAGGCTCTGACCTATCAGTGCTGAACCCGACACCGGGCTTGAACTCACGAGTGTGAGATCATGACCTGAGCCGAAGTCAGACACTCAATTGACTGAGCCACCCAGGTGCCCCAAAACTACAGAGGTTTGAAAGATAACCCAGGAAACTGTCTTCATGACCTCGAGGTGGGGCTGGGTGGGGGATGCTTAAATAAGATTCCCAAGGCACTAACCACAAAGTAAAAAAAATGATGAACAGAAAAGGTATTTAGAATATATTAAGTCCCACAAATCAGTGACAAGGAAAAGTTTTTAGTTTTTTAAAAATGTTTTTATTTATTTTTGAGAGAGAGTGTGAGCATGAAGGTGGGAGGAGCAAAGAGAAAGGGGGACACAGATCTGAAGCAGGCTGCAGGCTCTGAGCTGTCAGCACAGAGCCCGATGCGGGGCTTGAACCCATGAACCTCGAGATCACGACCTAAGCCAAAGTTGGACGCTTAACTAACTGAGCCACTCAGGTGCCCCAAGGACAAGTTTTGAACACACACCACAAAGGATATGGAAAGATGCTCAGCCTCAAAAGTAATTACTGAAAAAAATGCAAACCAAGAGACACAAGATACTATCAGGTTGGCTAAGTGTTAGACTAAATATTAAAAAGGCTGGCAATAACAAGTGTTGGTGAGAATGCAGAGCAATGGGAACTCACACCCTGCCTTGGGAATGGAGGACATTGCCACAACCACTTTAGCAAACAATTTGGAATTCTTCTAGTAAAGCTGAGGGCACCCATTCCACACAATCCAATATTCTTGCTTTTAAGTACTGAATGCTACAGAAACTCTGGCATGTGTCTAGCCAAGACTCCTGAGTAAGATTTTCATAGCAGCATTACTTATAGTAACCAGAAACTGGCAACAATGCAGATGTCCATCCACACATCTGATTAGTTGCAGAATAGCTGAAAATGGAAAACTACATAGAAATAACAACATGCAATGTCAGGCAAAAACATGGATGAAACTAAAAACAAGGTCAAGAGGAAAAAAAAGTATGGTTCCACTTAAATAAAAAATCATAAACATGCATCCAGGACTTTTTGGCTAGCCAATCAAGGTATTTGTAGATTCCCTAAATTTGAAAATGACAAGCAGGGTGCCTGGGTGGCTCAGTCGGTTGAGTGTCCGACTCTGAACTTCAGCTCAGGTCAAGATCCCAGAGTCGTGGGATTGAGCCCCATGTCGGGCTCTGCAGCTAGCGTGGAGCCTGCTTAAGAGTCTTTCTCTTTCTCTCTCTCCTTCCCTCTGCCCCTCTGCTCTGCTCACACATGCTCTCTAAAATGAATGAATGAATGTATGGATGAATAATGAAAGAAGAAAAGAAAGAAAGAGAAAGAGAAAGAAAATGACAAGCTGCAAGCAAGCAAACCAAATATAAGCTCAGAAGCAATAATTAAAGGAGGTTAATACATGTAGCAAAAAAAAAAAAAAATCTAGTTTCCAACTACGTATGTTTTTAACTTTTTCATAAGTTTATCATTTTACTAAAAAAGTTAAAATAAATTAGGAATTCAAAATCAAGTGATCTTCTGATGGAGGCAATATTTTAAAAACCAAGGGTACCAAATAGATATAATTTAAAAACCTAAGTAACTGATCTCTTAAAAAAGGCACAAAAGTCTCAAAAAGAATTTAGTGGCTGCCTAAAATTATCTTCCCTATCTCTTAGATACTAAAAATAAAAATCCCTTTTATTCAATTAGAGTTGCCTCAATTGAGGGGACTTTTCATCAGAGTTCCATTTATGGAAAGACCTAATTTTTACCAAATAATAAATATTATCTCATAGCTGGAAAAGAGGAGGCAGAAGTGGACTCATGACACTAAAACAAGTGGGAACGCTAACTCCCAGGGCCCCAGGCCTTCGGGCTGCCCCTAACCCTAACTGCTTTGTTCCAGTATGTAGACAATTCTAGTACTCTTTGAATAGTAAGGTAGGAAGATTTAAAATCAGGGAAAGACATAAAAACCCTCAGGATGGTCTTCCACATCTGAAAATACTACCCCAACTTCTTTAGCTTTTTTCCATTTCTCTCATTCTCCTTCAACTTTTCTCTGGTTCTAAAGTGGTCTAGTCCAGCAGAGTGTATATATGATATAGAGAATGCTCTAATTTTCCTCCTCCTTCTTTGGTTCCCCTCATTCTTTCCCTTCACCTTATGGGTACTGTACCCAACACTGCCTCTAATCCCATCTTCTCTCCCTCAGCACCCAGGTTTCTTCTCTACACTTCAGAAATCAACTCTCCGGACAGGTTCAAGCATATTTTAGCATCTGGGATAGATGGCAGTGATTCAGTAAGCGTCATTTCTGAGAGTGACATGAAAGGCATCATTCTCCAGCAATTTCAAGTACCAGAGAGAAGACTAGAAACCTGGAGAGCTGAGGAATCTCTTCCAGACATAAATGTTTTATTATGTAGAAATTTGTTTCTATTTATTCATATGCTAACTGAGTCAGGGGACTAGTCAGCTTATTATTCTCTTCAAGGCTCAATATCCTGGGGTGCCTAGGTGGCTCAGTCGGTTAAACTGCCGACTTCGGCTCAGGTCATGATCTCGCGGTCCGTGAGTTCGAGCCCCACGTGGGGCTCTGTGCTGACAGCTCAGAGCCTGAAGCCTGTTTCAGATTCTGTGTCTCCCACTCTCTGACCCTCCCCCGTTCATGCTCTGTCTCTCTCTGTCTCAAAAATAAATAAACATTAAAAAAAAAAAAAAAAAGCTCAATATCCTACCTTCAGGAATATTCTGCAAGCTTCTCTCTGGCTATTTTTAAAATCACTTTTAAGAACTTTGGCTAACCTAATTCCTTCTGTATAATAAATCTTTCATAATCTTCAAGAGAAAAAAAAAGCCTAAACACAATTCACTTTTAAGAATATTTTGTGTCAACTATACTTCAACTAAAAAAAAAGAATATTTCACACTCCAAAGTTACTGACATGAAAGAAATCAGCATTTGCATTTACAATTGTGATTAAATGACAAATTAATCAATGCATAATAAAACATAAAACCAAAAAGAAAAATGATTTACCAGCATGACAGCAGTAAGCCCATCATACATTCAGTATTGGTATAATGCACACCAACAGAATATTCTGCCAAACATGGTTTATTGACAGCCCACAAAATATATGTTTATTTTGCTTTAATTCAGCAACCTCATGGACAAAAACAAAATCCCTCCCCAGGTAATCACCCTCTTGACATCTCCACAATGATAAAAATTGGAGGGTCAGTGGGTAACGCAGCCACGTGAAGGCTTCAAAAATATAGGCAGTTCTCACACCCACATGTGAGTTCAGAAAACCCACAACTGGTGGCTACTGACCTATACCTAGTAGAGTGAGAACCCTGAGTTTTCTCCCCAGGTTCCTAAATCCCAGCTTTAAGAAACTGTGCATTAGTTTGATCATAAAATCAATTAAAGTAATTTCAGAATCCCCTAGCAGGCCACAAAATGAACAAAGCATTTCCCATTATCTATGCAGCATTACTGACGCAGGGCAAATACTTATTTGTAAAGTTGGAGAAACCCAGGAAGAATTCATCCTAGAGGAAGAAATACATGTTCAAATCAATGCTACCCATCTTCCTTTTCCACATAAAGTTTTACTTCATGCATAAAGGATGCTATTTGGAGAAAATCAAAAAATTTGCTGTAGTTACTAGAAAGGTGTATCTTGCAAGACACATGGATAGAAGAACTTAGAACCTAGTATGGTACCTGGCATATGTGACACTATGGTCAGAGACAACCACAGCACTATACATATGTATCTTACGGTTTTCAAGGAAAGTTTTCAGACCTGAAAATATGTTCAATACTGTAAGTTAAATTCCAAAAGGTTGTCAGTTTCTTTAAGGGCCTCAATAAGGAACACAAGCTTTACCTTTGTGAAGATGGCCAGGGGCATGCCATACTGGTCCTCTTCCAAACCAGAAATTAGCCCTGGTATCAGGACCACCTGGCCTGTATTAGCTTGAGGTTGTACAGTAATTGGAGGACTGTCTGAGGGCACAGACTCCTTTGGAAATGAGTTTGTCTGTTCTGACCCCGTGTGTTCCTTTTCTTTCAAGGTGGGGTCCTCCAAGACACTAGGATCCAAGGTCTCCCAGTCACTTTCTGAAGATTCTGGAGATGGGCGAGAAGGAGGTTTCAAATATTGACTGGTATCATTGGGTTCCTGTCCTTTGCTGCTGTCCTCTTCCGCTTGGAGCAAAGGTTCTTCAGTCTTGATGCCAGCATCTCCTCCATGGTTCCCTGTCATGATTTTCTTAACAGTTCCTGAGTTGGTATTTAAAATTTCAGGAGCGGACATAGAAACCAAATCATCTGCAGGTGGATTACTTTCATGAGGCCCAGCATCTTCAGACATACTCTTTCGGGGTCTGTACTGAGAACAGTCACTGAGACCATGTTCAATCATGCCTACAACACACAATATTGGAGAACATCTAGGCTTACAATAAGGTGGGAGAAAATAAGAGTTGCATATCCCATTTTAATTAGAACTAGAACTCTCCTATAAAAATTTTATTAAGTTATGCTTGCACATATTTTAATTAAAGGAAAAAAAAAAAAGACAAGAAAAATCTCGTACAAAAGAGAGAAACTCAGGGGTGCCCGGTGGCTCAGTTGGTTGGATGGCCGACTTTTTATTTTAGCTCAGGTAATGATCTCGTAGTTCGTGAGTCTGAGCCCCACACTGGGTTCTGTGCTGACAGGACTGTAGATCCTGCATGGGATGCGTCTCCTCTCTCTGCCCCTCCCCTGCTTGTGCTCCCTCTCTCTTTTAAAAATAAACTTAAAAAACAAAAAAACAAAAGAGAGAAACCCACTGCCAAAAGAAAATCATGTTAAATAGAAATATTTTCCCTAACAAGTTTATCCTTGAAACATTTTTATCATTGAAAAGTTCCAGTACAAGTTAAATAAAGAGTAGATACTGTATCCTCTTACCTGGAAAAAGGGATAACACAGTCATCAGGGCACCCACCAATTTATTCACTGGAGAAATATAAAAGAGAACCTGAAATGGATTCAATCAAAATTAAATTAGAAAATCCTGGGTCTACAATATCAAAACAAAAAAGGTAGGGGCGCCTGGGTGGCGCAGTCGGTTAAGCATCCGACTTCAGCCAGGTCACGATCTCGCGGTCCGTGAGTTCGAGCCCCGCGTCGGGCTCTGGGCTGATGGCTCAGAGCCTGGAGCCTGTTTCCGATTCTGTGTCTCCCTCTCTCTCTGCCCCTCCCCCGTTCATGCTCTCTCTCTCTCTGTCCCAAAAATAAATAAACGTTGAAAAAAAAAAAATTAAAAAAAAAAAAAAAAAGGTAGAGGGGAGTACAGAAGGGAAGATTCTTTACAGAAGAGTAACACCTAATAAATAAAACATTAATGAAAGAATCAAAAAAAATCACCAAGCATCCATGATGATCCAGTTAAAAATTACCAGTGGGAGCTAAAACTATTGTGAAAGGTTGTTGGGCAAGGGGCTCTTCACATAGCTTCAAATTTATCATCCCACAGATTAGCTATTAGTTGTAAATAGAAACACATGTACCTCACTATGAAGAAATCTGGCAACTACCACCTTAATCAAATGATTAAATTTCACATCACCAGCGATAGTACCAACAATTATGAGCCTCCTGGTGTGATAACTCTGTGGAGGACACACCACCAGTTGTATAGTATTCTCGCCCAAAAAAGTTTCAGCTGCAACTAGCCACAAGAAAATAATCAGGCAAATATAATCTTAAACTTTAGCCTGGATTTAAGTGTTTGTTTATTTTTGAGAGAGAGAGTGCAAGCAGGGGAGGGGCAAACAGAGAGGGAGAGAATCCCAAGCACACTATGTGCTGTCAGTGCAGAGCCTGACGCAGGGTTTGACCTCATGAACCGTGAGATCAATGACCTGAGCCTAAATCAAGAGTCTGATACTTAACCAACTGAGCCACCCAGGTGCCCCTAGTCTGGATTCTTTGGGGAAAAACAAAAACAACAGCAAGGTGGTACAGCTGTTAGAGATTAAAGAGGACTACCATGAAGTACATGATTCTTAGTCCCCAAAGTGGAAACAGCAACTAGTTTATAGGACATTATTACAACAACTCAAGAATTTGAAAATGGACTGATTAGATGTCATTTATTGCATCAATGTTACAATTTCTTGAACGTGAAAATGGTATCTTATATGGGAATACACTTAGTCTTAAGAAAGAAATATATCCTAACGTATTTAGGGGTAAAGTACCATGATCTTAAAATTAGGATTCAGGGGGAAAAAATGAACATATATAAAGCAATGTAATGCAAAAGTGGCAAAATGTTAACAAATGGTAAATGCAGATCAAGGGTATAAAAGTTCATTATAGGATTCTATCAACTTTTCTGCAGGTTTGACATTTTTCAGAATAAAAACTGAGAAAAAAATCACGAACAGGATTAGATATTGCATGAAATGTAACAATGGTCATCATTAAATTGGTTGGGAAAAAAAACAAGCAAAGATTTGCTTAGGTGAGTTTTTTTCCCCATTATAAACAAATTATTTAGTGACACTCAAGTGCTATCTGACAGAGCACAGTACCCCCAATTGTCTATGTTTTCCTTACAGAGTAATCTTGAGTGCTTTGCAAGTATGGAGAAACCAAATGTTGCATTAAAGGGCAGCCTTATTTCATCAAATCAATATGAAAAGAGTGTACCTGTGATTTGCCACATTACATAAAGATACATGATCATAAATGCCACTGCATGTAACTAGTTTAAGTTCTATTTTGCAAGATTGTTGTTTCAGATACGTGTATCTATATGTGCTCTGGGTTGCAATGTAAAGCATTTTTTATTATGAATACCAAAGTTTGAAACCTACAACTCAACAAAAAACCCACAACCTGATCAAAAAATGGGCAAAGGACTTAAACAGACTTCAAGGAAGTCATACAAATGACCAATAAGCACATGAAAAGGTGGTCAACATTACTAACCATTAGGGAATGCAAATTAAACCCAGGAGATACTACCTCATACCTATTAGAATGGCTACTATCAAAAAACTAAAAAACAGCAAATGTTGGTAAAGATGTAGAGACACTGGAACCCCTGTGCATTATTGGCAGGAATGTAAAATGGTGCAGCCACTATGGAAAACAGTATGGTGGTTCATCAAAAGAATTAAAAGTAGAATACCGTCTGGTCCAGCAATACCACTTCTGGGTATATACACAAAACAACTGGAAGCAAGGTGTTGAAGAGATGTACACATACCATTCATGAGAGTCAGAAGGTGGAAGCAACCCAAATGTCCATCAAAGGACGAAGGGAGAAACAAAATGTGGTATGTACAACAGATATTATTCAGCCTTAAAAAGGAAGGAAATTCTGACACATGGATCAGCCTTGAGGACATTATGCTTAGTAAAATAAGCCAGTCGCAAAAAGACATACTGAATGATTTCACTTATATAAGAACTTAGTGTAGCCAAATTCATAGAAACCATAAGTCAGGGTCAGTGGGAATAAGAAAATGGGAAGTTATTTAAGGGACACAGTTTTAGTTTTGCACAATAAAGAGGTTGTGAGTGGATGATGATGATAGCACAACAATGTGAAGGTATGTAATGCCACTCAACTATACACTTGAAAATGGTTAAGATGGTAAATTATATGTTACGTGTATTTTACAACAATTAAAAATTTGGTTAAGAAGTTAAAAACATTGTTGGGGTACCAATTGAGCCACCCAGGCTCTCCAGGAATAAATACTTTTAAGGTAACCATACTAGACTAAACCATACCAGCCATAAATGGCTGACTTTCAACAACTGTTCCACCCCTACTCTGCTTAGCACAGTAATATGGTATATAAAACTGGCTCCAGAGGTCCCTGAGTGGCTTAGCTGGTTAAGCATCCAACTATTGATTTTGGCTCAGGTAATGATCTCCCCGTTTGTGAGATCTAGCCCCATGTCGGGCTCTGCACTGACAGCGAGGAGTCTGCTTGGGATTCTCCCTCCCTCTCTCTCTGCCCCACCCCCACTCAGGCTTGTGTGTGCTTGCCTCTCTCAAAATAAATAAGTAAACTTAACACAATAACAAAAAACTGGCCCCAGATCCAAGGGTGGCTCCTGATTAGTCTCAACCAGAGGTGAAGCCAACGCTTTTTTTTTTTTTAATGTTTATTTATTTTTGACAGAGACATAGCATTAGTGGGGGAGGGGCAGAGAGAGAGGGAGACACAGAATCCAAAGCAGGCTCCAGGCTCTGAGCTGTCAGCAGAGCCCGACGCAGGGCTCGATCTCACAAACCTCAAGATCATGACCTGAGCCAAAGTCAAGATGCTTAACTGATTGAGCCACCCAAGCGCCCCTAAGTCAGTTTAAATTGTTATTTATTTATTTATTTATTTTTTACATTTATTTTTCAGAGACAGAGTGAGACAAAGTTGAGAGTTGGGGAGAGGCAGAGAGGGAGGGAGACACAGGATTGGAAGCAGGCTCCAGGCTCCAAGCTGTCAGCACAGAGCCCGACGTGGGGCTCAAACTCACAAACTGTGAGATCATAACCTGAGCCAAAGTCGGACACTCAACTGACTGAGCCACCCAGGAACCCCTAAATTGGACTTTTATGTTCCCTGTAGTCAAAACTATTCTGATAACTGGATACTGTCAAATTGTCCCCAGAAAAGACTACACAAATTTATACTTCTATGGTAGTGAATAATAGGTGCTTCGGTATACCACAATTTGATAGACAAAAAAAGTCTTAATTTATAATTCACAATTAGGTTTTAAGTTTATATAGTAAGAAATGTCAATAATGTCAATGTTAAATATTTCATTCCTTCAAATCTCACCTTTTTTTCAAGAAGAATTAGTTTAAACAGGATTAAGACCTAAAGAAAAAAAAATACTATATTAAAATAAACTCATACTTATTTCCTTTTTCCCTTCCTCAAACATAACCATAGATCATTTAATCAATAATATTAACTATAATGCTTAAAAATACACTGGAAATTATTAACTTATGCTGAAAAATAAAAAATTATGTGTCTTCTAAAAAATGTGAGAACCCCTTAAATCTCTAACAAATTGTGCTTTTTGGAAAGTTATGCATTTCTGCTTGAAATATTTGCAAGCTCCTTAAAGGGCAGGGACTATTCATTTATTTCTGGATGTCCAGGGCATTCACATAGCAGATACTCAATAAGTGTTTGTTAAATGAATAATCAATGTGTATATGTCCCAGTCAGCATATACTTTAATAATAAAGATCAGATAAGTATAGATGGAAAATGTTTCACTATGAGTAACATATAAAGTGTTCTGCAAGATTAAAACAGGGTTCTTTCTGCTCTAACTTCATGATATCTGAAATTACAAAGGCAACAGAAAAAAGTATCCTCTCCTGCATAGAAATAGACAGTATTCCTATACAGTACTTTAAAAACTTTCTATCAGATAAGCACTAACACTACCAACACTTTCAACTTTTATCCTTATGAGTACTGTCTGTCTTAGAAGAACTAAAACCTAGTATGCCACAATCTCCATTTGACCTTGTAGCACATGGAATTTACTAAGTTAAATGAATATAACTTTAATACATCATAAGTTAAATAAGGTATCATACCTTATGTCGAAAATGAAGCACAAGATCTCGAGGAGACAGACCTACAATGTTAACAAGAAAGCTAATCTGTGATGACAACATATGGGTTTTGTTAAAGAAAGATTTTTCCCCATCAAAAGAAAGGCGGGTAAAAAACAGGAATGGTAAGAATATGCAAATATTAAAATACTTATGTAATATTCCATTATGTACACATATACTCAGGATTTAATCAAACAACTGGGGCACCTGGGTGGCTCAGTGAGTTAAATGTTGGACTCTTGATTTCAGCTCAGGTTATGATCTCATGGTTCATGAGGCTGAGCCCCGTGTCAGGTTCCGCACTGGAATTCTCACTCTCCCTCTGTCCTTCTCCAACACACATGCTCATGTGTGTGCGCTCTCCCCCACCTCAAAATAAAAAACCCCAAAACCAAAAAACAAAGAATTTCTCAAATAACTATTAACAGTCAAACACAGCATGGTCGAATGGAACTTTTTACAATGATGGAAATGTAAAAAAAAAAAAAAAAAAA